GCTATTCTACCTTAACTTACATACCAAGTTAAATAACGATCGGTTGAAAAAATCCAAAAATAAAAATGTTTATGTAAAAATACAAAAGGTGGATATCTGGTTAACAAATCGATTTTGGAAAAAATGTATTCTTGATTTTCTCTTTATTTTGACCCATAGAACCATTTCCCGGAGTTTGACTGTTTACTAATGGGGCACCCTGTATATATAGTAGGATTTAACCCTTACCACTCTTGTGTCGGCCATGAGCCAACATCTGCCGTTTCGCAATCGTATCACATTTTGGCTAAACAAAAATATTAAAAAAATATAAAATTGTTTTTGGAAATTTTATTATTTATTGTTTATTATTAGTGTAATTGGAAGTTAAAATACTGGTAGGCTTAATGATCTGCATAGTAAATTAAACCTAGGGCATAGAGTATAGGCCCTTAAAATGAGAGTGGTAAGGGCTAAGTGTTTTATCGGTTTGAAAATGATTTATTTATAATTACGGTAACATGTATGGTAGTTATAATTATTATCACCAAAGTGCATCTGTTTTGAAACAGCACGTTCCGGTAGCCAATGATGACTAGCAGAAGCTAACAAGAGCAGGTTTGTTCATTATATGATTTAATGCTGTATGACAATGCTTGTCTAATTTTTAGAGTTTTTAAGCTGTTATTTTAAATATTGAAGTTTGTATACCTTAACCAAACTAAAATCAATTAACTTACTTAAAATATCTTGAGTACTCATTATATTTGCACAACATATTAATTGCACCTTTATTTATTAGAGTACTCGTTCACATCATATCATATGTTCCCGTACCACATAATTGCACAACACACATGCTAATGTTATTATCGTGAGCTAGGCCTACATTAACGTAAGGTTTGACGAGCGCCAGCTTGTATTCATTGCCCAAGCAGTTGTAATGTAGTTTGTAGTGTAGCGACGTAGCGTAGCAGTGTAGCAGTGTCAGTCACATGCACGGGGTCGGTGGGGAAGTGAGACAAAGAGAGAAGGAATGTGCAAGTGAGAGCGATGCAGAGTAGGCCGCGGGGCGAGGGGGGAATGTGCGAGAGAGAGCGCTGATAGAAAAAAAATCCTACTATCGCGCGCCTATCGGCAGCTCACATCAACTACTTGCTCCCGAGACCTGGCTCACACTACTACCGGCCCATAAGCCTGGGATGTCTTCTGTAGGTATATATAGTCAATGCTAGTATTTAAGTTTATACTATTAATAACTTTATAAATTTAATTTTACTTGAATTTTACGTAAACAATGTACTTTAATGCTTCAAAACTATATATATTCGTATTTTATTTTTTGAAAAATTGTTACTTTTTTGTATATATTGTGGAAATAAAACTGATTTGATTTTATTTGATGTAAGAAATTAATCTTTTTTATAGTAATGTCAATGAAATAAAATAAAAAAAATACTGGAAGCCCTGTACCGTACTGATTTTGTACAACAAATAGGTTACGGCAAAAATAGATTATTTTAAAATGTTACATTGGTTAAAATTAGGATTATTAACCTTAGTAGAGTTCCAAAGCCTGTGATTGTAAAACTCTTTGGAGTCTATAATAATAACATAAATATTCGCTCGGTAATATTCGATATTCAAAAATATTATGAAGTATTTGATTTGATTAGATTCAGACTCAAAAATCACTATTCGCACACCCCTACCAACAACGCACGCCACGAGCAGTGTGGAATAGCCTTTTAACCCATTTGCATCGGCTTATTTATTTACCAAAAATACCAGTATCACTGAAACAGTAAAAAAAATTAAAAAATATTAAACTATTTTTTTATGATGTTTTATAGTATGTTATAGCTGAAAATAATAATAAAATGTATATTTGTACATATTTTTGTATTTTATATGTATATTTATATGTATTTAGGATAATATTATACTATTTTTTATACTTCTCAAAAAATAAGTGCATACCTGCCTGTATTTCATAATTATCATATCATTCAAGGAATGAAATATTTTGCTGAACAAATTTAAATATTTTTTATATATTTACGTATATGTATATATATATATATATATATATATATATATATATATATATACACACACACACACAATTTTTGTGAAGATCAACTTTTTGTTTGTCAAAGTTTAGATACATAAATCATTGCATAATTTTCAGTAAAAATACCCACAGAATTGTTAAAAATATACACACAGTATAAAAGGTAATTGGAAGTACATAGAGACTAAAGCTGTAAGCGAGATGGCGCCAGTATGGCACAGAGTGCGGCACGGCACGGCGCTGTCGTGGTTGCAGCATCGCGTCACCCATGCCTTACGTTACCATACTGTAGCCCTCACTTACTAAATAACACTCATTGCATAGTTTGATTGAAATTTTGTTGTAAATACCAATAAATTTTAGTTCAGCTCCATTCATTTCAGGAAAATAAAAGAGTAAACTAAAATCATGTGTTTTATTTTTACATTTTAGGGTAGGTCAATTATTATGAAACAATGAATACAAACTGTTCAAACTATCATTTTCAAAATGTGTGGAATGCTTTGAAATTATAAATGTCCACATCTCAGGGTAAAACACGAAGAAACATTGTTCAAACTAGTAGTTTCGAAGGGTGTGATAAGCTTTGAAGTGATCAATACACAAAGGTACATGGCAAGTGTCACATTCATAAGTGGTTTCACGTCTGTTACCATGAATATAACACACTTTCACACTTTGCATCGTTTGGCACTTTGCATCGTTTTTTCAGTCTTTGAACCTTTTTTCTCAGATGGTTGGAGCTTTTGAGGAAAGTGTCTTCCTTGTAGGCGCTGAGGGGGTGGGTTTGGAGGCGTATGTCTTTCAGGCAACGCAACTGCACACTCATTTATAATTTCTTCGACTAATGCTTGCCGGAAAGTGGCAAATGATCGATTTGCCTTGTTACCGTTGAGGAGTTTGTGCACTATGAATGAATTCAGCACACACATATCAATTATGTAAAAAGCGATCTTCTTGTATGATTTTGCATACCTCCTCAATATGTTATTTTGGCTCAATATTTGATCCCCGCGGTCAACCCCACCCATACTGTTGTTATAAGCCTGAATAGCTAGAGGTTATATTTTGCTATTTCCGGTTTTCCAGCACCTTTTATTAGTTTCGCAGTAGTCCAATTTGTGCATAGTAGTAATCATGTACACGTCCTTCCTGTCAAGCCACCTTATAACCAAAATGTTTTGGAATGATCTGGCACTTGATTTGCCAACTTCCAATTTACATTTTCTCAAGTCTTTAGGCATTTTCGCACGGTCACATTGAACTGTGCCACACGTGTTTATACCAAGATTGAAGAGCTTGTGGATTAGTATCGGTGATGTTTACCAATTGTCGATATAAAGGTTGTATCCTTTATGTAGAACGTCACATCGTTCACACATTTGTAATACGACTTTCTGGCTGGCCGGGAGGTCTCCAATCTTGTCCTTACCAACATAAATATCAAAACTGCAAATATATGCATTTGTTGAGTCGCATAGTTTATAGAACTTGATCCCAAACCGGGCTCGTTTTTTTGGGTTGTACTGTATATACAACAGTCTACCGCGACACTTGACAAGAGACTCGTCAATAGAAATTTCTTGGTTAGGAATGTAATTACGGCGGAATTTACTTTCCACTAAATCAAACAGGGGCCTTATTTTGTGAAGACGATCAGTCCGGTCGATATTGTCGTTGTTACAAAAATGCAAGTATTTACTTATGGCTAAGAACCGATCACGGGGCATTACATTTCCGAAAATAGGTGTATGGATCACTGGTGATCGACTCCAGTAACTTTGAATGGTCGGCTTGTCGACAAGTCCCATAAGAATACATAGTGCTATGTACACTCTGACTTCATTTGGTGTAACAGGGAGGAAACCTATAGCACCTTTTTCGATTGCGTAGGCGTTAGTCTCATTCGTTATAAGTGAAACTACTTCATCGTCAAAAAAAGACGAGAAAACCTTGTACCTGCTGTCTCCAGCTCTTATGCCTAAATTTTGGTTTAGGCCAGGACGTCTAGTAAAATCATGAATGATTGGTGTAAAATCTTCGTTACTTAGAGGTTCGTCCCAAATCCATGTAGATTTTTTGTGATATAGCCTAGAATAGTCATCAGTAAGCGCATCGTTTTGTTCAATATCCAACATGTCAAGATCAGCATTGTCAATAATTTGGTTTCGCACTTCATTTAGGCCTACATTATTTACAGGATGGCTCAAAATATTGTCATTTACAACTGTCATGTTAGCTTGGCTTTCATTTAGGGTTATGTCAAAATCAGAATCACTTACACCGTCTTGGCTGTCACTTACGTCTTCATTACCAATATTCATTATTTCATCCCAATCGTCCTCGCCAGTCTCTTCAACATCTTGACTCAAATCTTCATAATCTGACAGTAACAGTTGATCTATTTCACTATCACGTACACACTCACGATAACTTGCCATTGTTTGTAAAATGGAAAACTGCCGATCACAACATTACTAGTCACATAACTACTAAAGCGAAACTGACACTATGTTCACAAAGATCGATCAATAAGGCGGGAACATTATAGCGGGAACATTATAGCGGGAATATTATGGCGGGAACATTATGGCGGGAACATTGTGGCGGGAACAAAAACAACACAAAATTAGCGGGAAAATATTAGTAAACAGGTGGTTGACGCGCGGGAAGACGGCTGGCGGCTGCAGGCGTTCTCGAGCCTCTGACGTACCAGTACGTCAGCCGTGATACTGGGCATTGCTGACTTGACGTACTGGTACGTCATCCGATGCAAATGGGTTAAGAGTGGTTTTCACAATTTTTCCCGCTGTCACATAATAAAGACCTTTAATATGAGCCCTATCCTGTCTTAACAAAATTAAATATATAGATTTTTATACACACATTAGAATCTTGTTTGCCTTATTCTAATAGTTTTTACTATAGTAATTTGTTATGTATTCAGATGGGGATCTGATAACCATTTTTGACAGTTCCGACCTATCTTATGCAGTGCAGTACAGCCGAGTGCTGAAGCTCACACTGATTGTCAACAACGGTGACATCAGTCGTCTCTACCAACCCCTTGAACTGAGAAAAATTCAGGTAATATTCTACTATGATCTGTGTTGTTTTTGTTTTGATGTTAATTAGAAGACTTCTACTCTTAAAAAGAGTTTTTTTAACCTTCATCACAAGGGAGGTAAGAAATGAATGCAGTAATGAATATACGCTTGGATTGACTACGGTACATCAAAAGAATAAATTATTTTGACGTTATTTTAAAAATGTACTACTAGGCCTAGCTGTTGCCCGTCGGCTTCGCCCGACATACTTTTCAGTTTTTTTTTTGTTATGAACTGGCTGAAGTTGTGACTTCACTAGAGGCTAACATTACCTTTTACATTATTATTCCGTAGGCCTATAGTAACAGTTATTAAGGATTAAATACATTCTTATATAGCCTAATCACGGAAGCTAAAATTAGACATATGGGACAACTGAAGTCAAACTAAGGGTGTTATTCGGTCTAGTTGCTGTACCCACGCTTTCACTTTGCAACAAGGAAAAATAATAGTGCTGCAATCTGTTGGTAAACTTTGTAACTTGTTAATGCTGTTGAACATCATAGAACCATAGACAAAAAGAATTAAATATAGACCGTCAGCTGTGCTGCGGTTACCATAGGTTCTGGCGCACACCGCTTGGAGCACCACGGTAGTTACGGCGTACGCGCTACGTAAACTACAGCGGTGTGCGCCTGAACCTATGGTAACAATGGCAACCGCAGCACGGCTGACAGTCTATATTTCATTCTTTTTGTCTATGATAGCCTAGAACTTAACTCGTTGGTTTATTTGAAACAGCTGTTAATAATAATATGCTTTGATTATTTTTAAATAGTCTTTCAAAAACCCTGAAATGGGTACCTTTAAGGTGGTCCCAGGGGGGCTAAGCCCTGTTATCACAAAATTAATTATGTATAAACCTATTCCATGAAATTCTACATTTGTACCAAGTTTCGTGGCCATAGGTCCAGCGGTACCTGAGTTTATCACTGCCAAATATATACACAAACATCCTCTTTTATACTGGGTGGCGCAAAAAGAAGGCATGAATTTGAGTAGCGTAGTACCAGTGGAGGGGGGCTGCTAGTGACCGCTGTGTGACGCCATTTTGTACGTTAGAGCGTCCAGTTTTAGTAACAATGGCACAGTGGACTGTTCAGCTTCGTGTGTTCGCTGTCGAACAGTATTTCAAATCGAATGAATCTGTAATTACCGTTCAACGAATCGAGCGTAATGATTCGATACCTGATCGCAACACGATACTTTGTTGGGTGAACTCGTTTCGTACAACAGGATCAGTTACAAAGAACTGGCCGTCCTCGTACGGCGCGTACTCCGCAAAACATCGACACTGTCAGAGCCTCGGTTCTTCAGAGTCCTCACCGTTCGACAAGGCGACGCGCTCCAACCTTAGGGATGTCACGTCGATCGCTCCAGCGTATTTTGACATGTGAGTTGAAATTTCATCCTTATAAAATTATGATTGTTCAGAAGATTCATGAACGTGATTTTGGTCAAAGAAGAATTCTTTGCGAGAGAATGCTTGATATTGTTGCAAATGACAACGCTGTTTTAATGATGAGTGATAAAGCTCACCTCCATTTGAACGGCTCGGTAAATAAGCAGAACTGCTGCTATTAGGCAGCTAACAATCCTCGAGAAATGCATCAGAAACAACTGCATAGTCCCAAAGTTACAGTGTGGTGTGGGGTCTCAAAAGTTGGTATCGTAGGACCTTACTTTTTTGAAGAGGATGGTGCAACTGTCACAGTTAATTCTCAACGTTATGTTGAAATGCTACGCACATTTTTGCAGCCACAACTGGAAGCTTTGGGGATCGATATGGCAGACATATGGTTTCAACAGGATGGAGCCTCAGCCCACACGAGCAATGCATCCATGGAAGTCGTAAGAGAAATGTTTCCTAATCAAGTAATTTCACGTTTTGGTGATCTCCATTGGCCTGCACGCTCGCCAGACCTATCGCCGTGCGACTTCTTCTTATGGGGTCACCTGAAATTCAAAGTGTACTGTCGCAAACCACGGTCTATCGAGGAGTTAAAGGCTGCAATACGTGAAGAAATTGTTGCAGTATCACAGGACACTTTGTGGCAAAGCCATAACATTTCCCAACAGACTGTTTGTAACATATGTAATTAATACCAGATGTTGTGAATATAAAAAGAAAACAATTGAGTGGTACTAGTTGAACAAATGGCAAGAAGATGATGTTAACTGAAACTTAAACTACTTTAATTGTCAAAAATAAAACTTATTTCACGCTTCCACATTTATATACTTACTTAATTTAGAACAAAACTTATAAATCCGCGACAATTGGTAGCAGAGCGTTGAAAATGACCTCAAGACTACTGAAGAAGATTGATACCTTGAACAAGAGATTGGGCAATACCATTACCGAGGCCAATTTACTTCTACAAGGGGAGGACTCTTCCAAACCTGACCTCCTAGGGACACTGACGACTTTAGACGGATATCGTAGGCGTCTGGAAGACTTACTTGAACAACTTGATCAGATCAAAATCGATGACTCAACGAATGGAGGGGCAAGTACGTCAGTGGGAGATCCATTTGAACTAGTTCTGAATTGCGAAGAAGTAGTTGCAAAACTACAGGTAAGAATAGATTCCTTCACACCTCATTATGCAGACAAACAATGTAACTCCCATGATCAAACTGTAGTTTTAGAACCTAAACGTTGTTTGGTCAAACTACCTAAACTTGTCATCCCAACCTTTGATGGCGACGTCCTCAAATGGCAGGAGTTTTGGGATTCCTTTTCCTCCTCCATTCATAGCAATGATGCTCTTACTGTGATTGACAAATTTAACTATTTGAATTCATTACTTGAGGGGGAAGCTAAACGTTGCATATCCGGACTCCCACTAACATCATTAAACTATGATACAGCAATTTCTTTACTGAAGAGTAGGTTTGCTAACAAACCAATAATTGTAAACTCACACTACAAGTCACTAATAGCAATTCCTCCTGTTAAGTCTAATGACACGAAATTCTTGCGTCGTACCTTCGACATAATTGAAAAACATATGAGATGCTTACAAGCCTTAGGGGAGGATACAAATTCAAACTACTTCCTCACACTTATTACTAGTAAGTTACCTCTCAATGTTCTACTGAAGGCTGAAGAACTAAACTTAGGCGAAGAATTAAACGTAAATCGACTTTGTAGTACAATTCAAAACATTCTAATCGTTAGAGAGAAATCAGAGATGCTGCTGGGAATTTCTACTAAGTCTAGGGATGTGACTGTGGAGCATATCATTCATAAACCTACCTCAACTGCCGAGACCCTGTTAACTGGTGATAGGTCCTGCAATCTAAGACGATGTATATTTTGTGAGAAAGACCATTGGAGTGATCAATGTACGGCATTCAGCACAGTAAGTGAGCGTAAGGACAAAATAAAGTGGTTATGTTTTATTTGTTTAAAAAGGGGAAATAGCCTTAAAAATTGTAAAACTTTCAAGGCTTGTGTTTTTTGTAAGCAAAGCAAAAATCACCACAGGATCCTTTGCCCTTAACAGTTTCCACCAGGTATCACCAAAGATGCTGTGAATTCCCCGACTGTTCCTACGGGACGAGAGTTACAAGTACCAAAACCAATTGGAGGCTCGTCACACTTGACCACAACCCAACTAAAATCAACTAAGTTATCGTCTCTTCTTGCAGTTAACGAACAGGTAATTTTACAAACTGCAATTGTAAATGTTACAAATGAAGTTAACAAACTAACTCACACTGCTAGACTTTTATTCGATTCAGGTAGTCAAAGGTCATACATGTCAAAAGCTTCTAAGTTACAATTAAAATCCGATCAACATCAGATTTTAAATGTGTTCACTTTCGGAAACAAAAGTTGTAAAACTCTTGAGACACCTGTTGTTTGTGTTGGTATATCGCTTTTAAATAAAGACACAATCAACGTACAAGCAAATGTTGTGCCTCACATAACTGGACAAGTCCACTCAAGCGGGATGATAGATATTATTGATCAAATAAAATCAATATATCCGAACTTAACTTTGGCTCAAGGTCAACACCTGAACTCCGAAATTGACCTTCTCATTGGAAATGACTATTACTTGGACTTTATAAATGACGACAAAATTGAGGTAAGCAATGGACTTTTCCTCTTAAACACTAAATTAGGCTGGGTCATCAGCGGAAGGAGCTTAATAAACTCTATTGAAACTGACTCTTACTCAACTTCATTCTTAACTACGGTCCAGCCATCTAACTTGTTTGTTCCTAAAGCTTACTTTCATTCTGCAGATTCTCAACTTGTAGAACAATTGAAACTTTAGGTATACATGATAATCCATTTGAAATTGATGATGATATTGCTCTAAAGCAGTTTAATAATACTATCCAATTAGTCGAGAATAGGTATTCGGTTTCTTGGCCATGGAAAGAATACCCCCCAAACTTGCCGGATAATTATTTTCTCTCATTAGCTTGACTGAAATCGCTTGTGAAAAGGTTATCAAGTCAACCAAATTTGCTTCAAAAGTATGATAACATAATCAAGGAGCAGAGATCAGCGGGAATCATTGAACAAGTTCCGAAAACTGGAAATGCCATTGTTAAGCATTATATTCCACATCATCCCATAATTAACGAAGCAAAATCCACAACAAAGGTAAGAATAGTGTACGATGCTTCAGCTAAGTCAAAGAAATCTTCTAATAGTTTGAACGACTGCCTTTATCGTGGCCCAGTAATACTAGAGGACTTATGCGGATTGCTCATACGTTTTCAACTCAACCCTATAGGGATAATAGCTGATATAGAAAAAGCTTTCCTTCAACTGAACTTAAACATACCTGATAGAGACGTTACTAGGTTTTTATGGTTAAAAGATTTGTCAATGCCAGTGAATGAAAACAACATTGAGGAACTAAGATTTTCCAGAGTTCCGTTTGGTGTTATTTCAAGTCCTTTCTTATTGAGTGCTACTATAAAGCACCACCTGTCCCATAGTGAACTAACAGA